AGTGTGCATACGTATTTGGAGGAAGTTTTTTCCTCTTAAGAGAAAACACTGCTTCCAGGCTCTCATTTCTGGCCCCAGAAAGGTGGAGAGGTGAGTATAGCCACTGTCAGTCCTTCTGCTGCAGTCATTAAAGCAAGACCCTTATGGCTCTCCACAGAGCTGTGCATGCTAATGGGCATTTGTAATCAATAGACGCTATAATTCTGGTTCATTAATAATCCCTTGTTTACCCAAATTAACCAAAATGAGATGTGCTTTAGTTTGGAGGAAAGCATGCTCAACTCCAGTCCTGGCAGAAACTGTGCCCAGTCTCGCAGCTGGTTGCTCTGGGCCAAGACACTTGTCTGTAGAAGGAAATGAGTGCTAGCCAGCCTCTGTGGCCCTTCTCCTCCCTTGTCCACACCCTAGATAGTGTGGTGGGCTGAGCTGCAGGGTAAGAGGCAGGGATAGGTAGGGGAGGAAGGGGAAGGAGGTGCAGAACCAGCCAGCTTATTATTATTACTTCTTCTCAACCAGGAATTATCAGCCGAGAAAATGCAGAAGATCTCCTGGAGAACATGACTGAGGGAGCATTTCTGATCCGAGTCAGTGAGAAAATCTGGGGTTACACCCTCTCGTACCGCCTGCAGAAAGGCTTCAAGCACTTTCTCGTGGATGCCTCTGGAGACTTTTACAGCTTTCTGGGAGTGGACCCCAATCGCCATGCCACACTCACGGATCTCATTGATTTTCACAAGGTATCCCTCTTCGGGGTGCTAGTCGGGATATGAAATAGGTGGAAACCTAGGCTGAAGAGAGCTAGAGCAAGCACAGCAAGACTGAAGGCACTGACCCATGGGGCTGCGGAATCTCCGAGACACTCAGAACAACAGGGTAGAAGAGCATAGATGTAGACTAGGCCAGGCTCGGGGGCCCACTTCTCTCTGTTCCATTATATCTTAAGACTCACATGTGCAGCTGTAGCTCTTTTCTCTAGGCCTCTTCTCATGCTGAATAGCCCAGTGTTCCCTACTGTCAATACCTAGGGGCTGACTGATGGCACTCTCCGCACACCTATGACTCAGTCTCAGGAGTGCCCTTCTTGAGGACATTCTAGCCAGGCCTCTGGCAGCCTCTGAGAGTTAGCTCAAGTGCAGCAGGCAGCCCTATGGTTAGGGATACTTTCCTAGTAGTAGAGTTACCACCTGTCTTGTGTGAACCTCAGCTTTAGCACTTGATGTATTTGTGGCCATGGGCAGAACACTCAGTCTCATTTACCTTTGGTGTCCTGGCCAGGTGCCCCATTTCATTTTGCACTGTCATCACAGAATGCCACAAACTAGGTAATATATAAAGAATGGAAATTTTGTTTCTCACCATTTTGGAGGATGGGAAGTCTAGGACTGAGGAGCCAGCATCTGGTGAGTGCCTTTTTATGGCATCATCCCATGGTGGAAAGTGGAAAGGCAAGAGAGAATGAGGTAGTGAGAGAAGAGGGGGCCAAACTCATGTTTTATTCCTTTCTTTTTTTTCCTATAAATACAGAAATGGCTCCTGAAATAAAGGCACTAATTCACTCATGAAGGCAGAGCCTTTTACTGGTCCTACCTCTTAATAGCATCACAAAGACAATTAAGTTTTCAACACATGATTTTCAGGAGGAAACATTCAAACCACAACACCAGGCATATGGATGTAAATAGTCTTAGCTGGGATCTTGTGAGCCTTAAATGAGATCATGTACACAACTGTGTTCTGTAACTGGGGTTATGGAAGTCTCTGTGTCCCATCACTCTTCTTGTGATTTGTCCCCCTGCCACAGACCCACATTGAGAAAGATGTCTTTCAAACAATGCATGTAGTGAGAAGCCACTCTTATGTTACGTGGCTTTTGGCATCAGTAGTAACTGAGAGAAAGGCAGAGATGGAAGTCAGTAGCCTGGAAGGGCAGGATAGAGGGATTCTGAGAGCTGAGTGGTAGAAGCTCAGGGCTTCAACATCTCCCTGAGCTTCCCAGGCTTAGAAGCGCTCACAGAGTGACTTGACCATCTCAATAGGCTTTTGCTTTAATAGGGACCCTCAGATTTATATTTCTCTTCATTTCTTCATGAGTGTCCCCAGGGCTTGAGAGAGAGAGCTTGTAATGTGACCTTATGACTGAGGCACATAAAAAAGTCACCCACCCCAAAACACCTGGACATAGAGTGCAGTGGACTGCCTGGACAACTGGATGAACCAGGATCAGGGAAGATTTCCACTTGTGTGGGAAAGAGCCTCTCACAACCAGAGGAAAGGCAGAGCCTGGGAATATTGGATACTGGTACCTTCTCTGTGCCAAGCAAGGAGCCCATTGATCTGCATCCATGCCCTCATTTAATATTCACTACTCTGTGAGGGATATGTATTAGCCCCAGTTCACAGATCAGAAAACCAAGGCCACGGAGAATGAGAAAGTTGGCCAGTTCTCATGGCCGGGACCAGCTGGGACCAGGAGTAAATCCTCAGGCTGTCTGCCGCTACAGCATGTGCTCTTCCCACTAAACCTCTGTGTTTCTTTCCCTGTCCAACATAAGCTACTTCAGTGGTGATGAGCTCCTTGTCCCTGGAAGCTTTCCCAGCAAAGGGTAAATGCCCATCTCTCAGGGCAGGTTTCTGTATGTGAATCCCAGACCAGATGTCTCCGAAGGTCTTTATTCTCTTCCAAAGCTCAATTTTTGAGACTGACAATTCACTTCTAAGGCTTTAGAGAGATAGCATCCATATCCATGTGGAGATCCAGTAGCCAGCTTTTATAAATGAAAAATTTAATTACACAATTAATTCACGATTGCATTTTAAGAAAATTCAAATGCCATAGCAACCCCACACTTCATTCATTTAAAGTCCCTGTTTCTATCCTCCACCATGAATAATCATTTTGCCATGTGCCTATCCAAGTATTTCCTGGGCAGTAATACCAAAGCTTAAGTACATAAGGAAATACATAGTTACACTTTTTTCATAGAAATTGTATAACTTTTCACATGAGGCTCAGCAACTTGATTTTTTAAAAACTATATGTAAAGCATCATAGAATGTGGTGTTTAAAATCATGGTCCCTGGAATCAGAGTGCTGAGTTTAAATCCCAACTTCATTACAGTATGTGATTTGGGCAACTACTCAAACCTCTGTGTCTTAGTTTCCTGGTCAGTAAGATGGGTTTAATAATAGCACTTATCTCTTAGGTTCACTGTGAGGTTTAAATGAGATATCATAGAAAGTACTGAAAAAGTATGCCTGACAACTTGTAAGTTACTAAGTCACTACCAGGAGATCTTTCCATGTCATGACACGTACCAATTTTTGTACATGCCCTGTGGTATTCCATGGTACGAATGTATATTACAGCTTAATTATCCATTCTCCTCTTATGTCCACTCATCCAACTTCTAGTTTTTCAAGATGATGAACAGTGCTGCAGAGACTTCATCACTATGTATATGTCACTATGCTACTATGAATACATGTGCAATATTTTTTCTAGGATGGATCCCCTGAACTGGAATTTCTGGAGAGGAAAGTATGCACATTCTAATTAGAAAAGATCTGCCAGAATGCCCTCCCAAAAACATGGTGCCAATTCATGTTCCTGCCAAAACTATATGAGGCTGTTTCCCCACACTGCTGCCAACACTGGGGATTCTCAGTCATTTAATTTTTTTCCATCAGATGGGCAGACACTGGATCTCACTATTGTTTAGCTCGTATCTCTCTGATTGCTGCCAATGCTGAGGATCTTTTCATACTCTTCATGGCCAGTTGGATTTCTTAGTCTGTGAATCATCTGTTCATATCCTTTGTCAATTTTTTTCTATTTAGATGTCTCTTTCTTATCGATGTGGGCATTTCTTCAGCTTCTAAATTGCTCTTTAGTTATGTCCATTCTGCTTTTTCGGTTCCTCTACTGAAATTTTTCTTTTTTAATTTAAATGGTCATGCAATTCATTTTCACCCCCCTTCTCCCCCCACTCAAATATAATAGCTCATTCTTGTTTCATGGATGGCTTATTCTGCTGAGAAAGTTAATTTACATCTCTTAAAGCCTCCTTATGTTTGTTTTATAAACTTGTTATTTTCTTGGGAATCAGTTCTATTATTGAGCCTGGCATCTTTCTTCTATAGTTATGCTTGTCTTTAAATATTTCTAAATTGGGGGCTATGAGATGATAGTCCAACTTTAAATTTCCTGATTATCCATGAGTGCTTTCAGTTTCTCTTTCCAGTCTCTTCATGCTGTAGGGATTGGAGTTAACAGTGAGTAGTTCATCTTTTGGGCATGGAAGTATCTGAACTTTTGGGGTCTCCTTGGCTTCCCCAGGAGCTATGTGCTTCCCCAATCTGTTCGAAATCCCCTACCTGACTTCAGCACACACCAGGGGTTCTAGATTAGTCCCCAAGTTATTATTAGATCCTCCTATACATGTTTCACCACACTAGGAACTCAACTCTACTTGCATGTTGACCACAGCTTAGAAGGTTTTAAGAAAATGATGCCGGGCCCCAACTCAGATCAATTAAATTAGAATACAGAGGATCATTGTCATTTAGATGGGTGTCCCCCAAATGCTCATGTGTGAGACAACACAAGAATGTTCAGAGGAGAAATGACTAGATTGTGAGACTTGTGAACTAATAATGGATTAATCCACCTATATGGACTAATTGAGTGGTAACTGTAGGCAGGTAGCCCCTGTCCTACATTGACACTTATGACAATCTCATGTGGTATATCTCTTGGTTTTCAAAGATCCTTCAGCATTTTATTCTGTTGATAGGTTTCTCTTATTTTCCAATACTTTAAAGACTTATTTCTTTTTTAAAGCAGATTACCCCTGCCTCATTATTTATAGAAATTTGAGTGAAGAAGGCATATGCATAGTCTTTGTCTTTCTGTCTCAAACAAGACTCTAGTGAATGTTTATATCACTTTCTTGATTTTAAGTAAATGCCCCTTCTCCTTTTTTTTTTTTTTACCTTTCAGGAGGAGATTATCACTGTTTCAGGGGGAGAATTGCTACAGGAACCCTGTGGACAGAGGGACAGCCCACCAGACTACCACCTATTATTTGAATGATTATTTTTTTTTCCTTATTATAGTTAAATCCCTTTGGGTACCCTCTTTCTGAACTCAGTGCAAGAACTTCCCAACTCAAATCCCAATGGCTTTCTAGAAGATCTACCACTATCCAGAGGATCAAGTACATCAGTATGTCTCAAGAGATATGAAATGTGTGCATCTGTGCTATGGGTCCCATCCCAATGCTCAGGACAGAAATTGCTAATAGCTGCTGCAACTGTTTCATGGAGAATTTAGCTGTGACCTCAGAAGATTCACCCTATTTGTCATGGCTACTCTAAACTAAGCTCCTAGAATGTATGGATCATGTTTTAATAATCCAAAATATTCTAGTGCCGAACCTGGACTTTAACATGTGGTGTGATAAGCATTCAATAAACGTCGGTTGAACAAACACACTTCTGAAAGTTTTTCAACACTAATAAGCAATGGTTTCTAGTAAGTTATTTCCTGCTTCTCACTCTTTATAAAGCCATGGAGATAAGAGAAGAAAGATTGTAAAGGATTTCTATGGAGGATGCTGTAGATGGAGGGGATGATTTCTATAGATGCCACTTTGCTTATGGAGTTCATTACCCTCTTTGATATTATCACTGGAATTACCTAAGGCTCCTGAGCCCTGGCTTCCAGGACAGGTGATGGATTCTGTGCTGCCTTCCTTATTTAACCTCTTCTTTGGTCACCCTCCCCTGTTTTTGAATCGTATATATCTTGACTGCAGTTTGGCAGTACTGAAGTGATGATTTCATGTATTCCTACATATGTGCCCAAGACCTGGTATGCAAGAAATATTTTTAGATATCTGACAAGGCTTTTGCACTTTAGAATGTTCTCTGTATGCAGGCTACTGAAATGATTAGCGTTGTCTTCATTGTTCTTGTGTTGATTCTAGTGTCTACTTAATCTGAATATATTTAACAAGAAGACTCTCCCAATAACTCCTCAATTATGCTCGGTGATGGTATGATGGTGTCTATTTGTGCATAAGCATTTATGACCACATACACAGAGATAGCAGATTAGGATAATAATCTAGAGTTAAGAAGACCTGGGTCCAAATCCTTATCCCTGGAACTTACTTGCATGATAATGCTTGCAGTATTATTAACTTGGTGAGCATAAAAAGGTGAATGGATTCCGGGAACATCAGGGAACTGGTTTACCTTACCTGATGAGTGTGTCAAACATCTCTTAAGCTCCACTCATTTCTTGCCTCACCTGCTTCCCAGATCCTTGGCCACTTGTTTCCCCCATAGCCACCATCACTGGAACCAGTTTTGTGTGAGCTCTCCTTTTCTTTACTACGTGGATCAACCTCACTTGAGCATCAGCTTATGGTGCATGGCCCCATGTGGTACTACGGCTGCTGTTATGGGTTGGATCTGAGGTATCCCCCAAAGGCTCATGTGAGAGACAATACAGGAAGGTTCAGAGTTGAAATTATTGGGTTATGAGAGTTTTAACCCAATCAGTGAGTTAATACCCCTGGTGGGATTAACTGAGTGATAACTGGAAGGAGGCACGGTGTGACTGGAGGAGGTAGGTCATTGGGGGGGTGACTTTGGGGTATGTATTTGTATTTGGTATGTGGAGTCCATCTCTGCTTCCTGATCAACGTATGAGCTGCTTCCCTCGGTCACACTCTTTCACCATGATGTTCAGCCTCACCTTGAGCCTTAAGGAATGGAGCTGGCTGCTATGGACTGAGACCTCTGAAACTGTGAACCTCCAAATAAACTTTTTCTCCTCTAAAGTTGTTCTTGTCAGGTCTTTTAGTCACAGCAGCGAGAAAGCTGACTGAAACAGCTGCTCACCTCCTGTTGCTGCCGAGGCATACCACAGGAGAGCTGGGGGTTAGTGCCCATGCAGTGAACCTTAGCTCATTGGTTGATCAGTTCTTCTTACTTCTTCCTCCTGGAGGGGCTGTCCTGAGAGCCAGCTCTTCATTTGGCCTCTATAGTTCTGCAAGATGGAGAAGTCAGCCATGAGGAAATTAAGCAGTGACCAGGTGAGTGTGACACCCTCTGTTTGTTCTTGCTCTTCCTCTGTCTTAGCTCCTCTCCATCCTGTTCCTCTGGGATGGTTTTCCTGGATTAAGCAGCAGCACAGAAACTTGCCACAGTCTTTTCCTTTTGGGGAACCCTTGAAAAGCACCCATTGTAGCAAGGTATTTAATAATATCAGTTTTGCAACTCAGTTCTCTAACTTCCCCAGCCTTCCTGTCTCGTTGGGTACCTACAATCAAGTGATAGAGGGAACCCTGCTTTCTGAATTCTAAGGCACTTTAATTTATTTTTTTTATTTTTTTTATTTTTTTTAACTTTTTATTCTTTTATTAAAGAATGTACCTGAGAAATATAGAAGAAATAATTGCAATAAAAACTGTCACTCTGTAACCAAGGTACAGTAGCTGATGCAGGCAGGTATCACCCAGGAATCCTGAGATGGGTGGCAGTGCCAGGAGAGCACAAATTTCCAGTGTCCCACTGAAGATGCCTTTATGGAGGAGGAAAGACAATTTTCACAGTGAAGAAATCTGGCAGACCAGCCTTAACCAAGGGCCAACCTCTCTGTCAGCCATGATGGCACCAGCAGGTCTCATAGGCCATTTGGTCAGTGATGCCACACCTGACCTACACAGAGTGCATTTTTTTTTAATTGATTGTTCCAAACATTACAGAGCTCTTGATAAATCATCTTTCATACATTTGACTCTATTGGGTTTTGAACTCCCATTTCTACCCCAAATACAGATAGCAGAATCACATCTGTTACATACTCACATTTTTACATAATGGCATATTAGTGACTGTCTTAATCTGCTACCTTTCCTAACCCCTACTATCCCCCCCCCCCCCCCCCCCCCCCTTCCCCCTCTGCCTCCTCAGCTGTTGTTCAATTCTCTCCCTTTTTTCCCCCCTCCCCCTTGCGCATCATACCTCCTTTTTTTTTTTTAATTTATTTTTTTTTTTAGTTCTCGGCGGACACAACATCTTGTTGGTATGTGGTGCTGAGGATCGAACCCGGGCCGCACGCATGCCAGGCGAGCGCGCTACCGCTTGAGCCACATCCCCAGCCCCCATCATAACCTCTTATACTTTTGTGTATCATTGAAGGTCTCCTACCATTTGCAAATCCTTTCCCTTCTCTCTCCCTTTCTCTCCCCCCATTCGTCTTTGTTTACAGTGAGTCTTTTCCTCATGCTCTTCCTTCCTGTTTTGTTCTTAGTTGCTCTCTTTATATCAAAGGAGACAKTTGGCATTTGTTTTTTAGGGCTTGGCTAGCTTCRCTTAGCATAATCTGCTCTAATGCCATCCATTTCCCTGCAAATTCTATGATTTTGTCGTTTCTTATTGCTGCATAATACTCCATTGTATATAAATGCCACATTTTTTTTATCCATTCATCTATTGAAGGGCATCTAGGTTGGTTCCACAGTCTAGCTATTGTGAATTGAGGCACTTTAATTTATAATCAAGTACTATCAAAATTACTTTGTTTCTATCAGGACTTTGCAGAACCAAGTTTTTGTTCGGGCTCTGCTAGGTACCAATTATGTGAGTTTGTTCAAGTCTTTTGACCTCATTAAACCTCTGTATAACAGGGGAGAGGATTTTCTATATGGTATCCATTTGGTAGTTTTGGAAAATTAGTTAAATAACAATATGGAAGCTCCATGCAAATGAAAGCTTCATACTGAGCAGTGATGTGTCAGGAGAGATGACGTGATGATGTTCACTGTGTTGGAAGAAACTTCCAGCAGCATCTTTGAAAGCAGACCAAGATGGGTTGAGAACCCAAATCCCCAGGCTGCTGAACCTGTCACTGCCTAATTAATATGAGAGAGACAACAGCTGAGTTTTCCATCCCTAACACATTTATTTCATTTTATTTGGGGCCAGCACTTTCTGCATGTCTCATATATTTTAGGTTTTACCTGGCTTTAAAATAAATTCCGTGTAAGTTGTCCTGCAAATGAAATTACTGTCTGGAAAACTGCAATTTCATCTTGAGAGTTTTATTATGCTAATAAATGTCAGGATTCTCAAATAAAGGAATTGCCTCCCCCCCCTTTTTTTCCCTGAGCCCTACAAATATAATGAAAAACAGCCAGTCAGCTACAAGACTCAGCAGAGGGAAAATTTACAACCTGTAACTAGAAAGAGAAGTTGTAAAAAACACAATGCAACTTAATGGAAGATAAATTTCAGGGAATGGGAGGGCAACTTGGGGTGCAGATCCAGGGAGGTCTCTGCATGGCAGATATTCTTAGGGAATAGCAAGGGGTTTATGGGCCAAAAGGGGGCTACTGAAAGAGAAGACCCTTAAAAGGAAACGTGGGCATGAAGACTTGGGACCTGGGGTAGTTTGTTCCTTTTTACCACCTTGATCCTCTCCTTATCCTCAGGACTAACTTGTGATGCCAGGTAAGTTTCTCCATCCTTGGGCCATAGTTTCTTATTTGAGATGGATAAACATGGCTGGTTTCAGAGGGTAGCTATGAAAATAATGTGAGATTTTATAATAATAATGACAGGCATTGTTTTAAGCCCTGTGTGTATATGTGAGTTTGTGTATGTGTGTGAATTCTCCAGACCATGCTTGAGGGAGACAGTGCTCTCCTTTCCATCTTGCACATGGGGAAACTGAGCAACAGAGAGGCTCAGAACTTTTCCAGGGTCACTCCTCTTGGAAAAGCACAGACATTGACTATAGCCTGGCTTTTGGAATGGTATAAGCCTTAGGCCAGTGCTTTCCAAGCTGGAATGTGTGAACCAGACACAGAGTGATATTAAAAATGCAGGTTCTTCTTCAGAGGATCTGGGATCAGGTTTGAGGTTCTGTGTTTCTAACAGGTTCTGGGTTCTGCTGCCATGACTGGACTGTGGGCCACACTTTGAGGAACCAGCTTTGAGAGCAGTGATCAGCAAATTATAGTACAGGTCAAATTTGGCCTGCAAATTGTGTTTCTACAGCCTGAGAGATTAAGAAT